TAAGGTAACACCCGGATGACACTGGGACTCTTTTCTAAGGAAAGACTAGGCCAGCAGCTCAAATGTAAACGAATTCAGGTTGGAAATACCATCATATTCTAAACACACCTAACACTGAAATAGCACACTGGCTTACAAAACAATTTTATATGTATCTTGGCACGGTTAACTCTAAGTCTCATGCTACAGCTAATATTTCAATTCTGATTTTACCGATGAAAAAACGACCCTCCAAAAAAATGCAAGGGCGTTATTAGGCTGGCACGGGAGGGCAACGAAGCCAACTGCTCCTTCTTGGGAAGAAGGCGGGATCCTGGACCTTTCCTCCTTCATGTTCTCGTAGCTACAGTGGGCAACCGTCTAGAATAATCAGTAGCTAAGTCTCTGCAGAGATAGGGGAGAACCCAAAAGAGTATCTTTGAAAGGGATTTGACACAAATCCACAGGGACTGTACTGAAAAGGGAGAGTCATCACGTCAGGGTGAGCACTAGCATTTGGGGTAAACACAGCAATATTGGGAGTCTTGCCCTCCTCTGGTTGAGGATTTTTTTTTTTAATTTACTTTTATTGTATTACTTGTTTTTTTTATTTTGGCAGGGTTGGGGAGGTAATTAGGTTTGTTTATTTTTAGAGGTACTGGGGATCGAACCCAGGACCTCATGCACGCTAAGCATGCACTCTACCACTTGAGCTGTACCCTCCCTCTTTGTTGACGATTTATGCCACGGATGACAGCTTCACCCTCAGGCACGGTGGAGCAGCGAGAGGTGACATCGGCCTCGGCCATCATTTGTAGCAGAGTCTGAGGAGCGCCAGTGTCCCATTGCCTCCTGTTCTCTGCAGCTGCAGCGTCCTGAATGAACAGCTCTGGGTGTAAGAAAAGAATGCCTTAATTTAAAAGCAGCCAAAGTGTGACGAATTGCACCAAATAGTTCTTAGGAAACCTGGAGTCTATCAACTGGTACATTCAAAACAATAATCGCCACCCTCATTCTAATACAGATTGCTACAGACTGAATGTGTACCCCTCAAATTCTTACGCTGAAACCTAACCTAACGCCCAACGTGATGGTATTAGGAGGGGCAACTGTGGGGAGGTGACTAGGCCATGAGGCTGGAGTCTCCTGAATGAGATTAGTGCTCTTACAAAACAGACCCCAGGGAGCTAAGTGAGAACGCAGCAAAAGGTGGAATCAGGCCCTCACTAGACACTGAATCTGCCAACACCATGATCTTGGACTTCTAGCCTCCAGAACTGTGAGAAATAACTGTGTTATTTATAAGACACCCAGTTCACGATATTCTGTTAGAACAGCCTGAACTGACTTAGATACAAGTCATAACTTACAAGACTGAAATTATAAAAACATTTAAAATTGTTTCACTTTTATTAACATTTGATTGACTAGACAATATATTTAATTCTCAAGAACTATTAATGGCACAAATGAACAAATGCTTGAGGCACTGATGAGAAATTTGGTCAGTGTCCACGGAAATGCAACTGTTCCCCACCTTAACTTTAAAAATGACTTGTGTTATTATTTTCCTTATTGCTGTGTTTCATTACAGGAAATTTGGAGATCAGATAAGTAGAAGAAAACAAAAATTATTCATGATCCCACTGTCCTGGGACTATTAAAATTTCAAATTTTCCTTCTTATAGTTTTTGCTTTGCTTTAAAACATGCCCCTTCATAATTTGCTCAATTAGCTACATCATATCTGGATTATTAAATATCACTTTATACCACCGTTTTAAAGCAAACATGGTATTCTGTTTCATGGTAGAATTTAACTAATTCTTTTTTGCTAGACGTTTAGATTGCTAGAGATTTTTTACTATTATAATACTAAAATGAACTCATTTGTAGCTAATCTTATTTGGACATTTATGATTATTTTCCCTAGATAAACTGTTGAAAGTGACATTCTAGAAGCTAGTATTGTTTGCTTTACCAAAGCCTTTCATTGTTAAAGTTGAATCTATTACTAATTTATTCTGTGATTTTTTTTCCTATATACTTTGAATAGCTAATTCTTCCCTATCCAAAAAAATACATACGTATATTTTCTTTACTTCATTTTCTAATACACAATTTCATTTTTTACATATAAACACTTTGATTTTATTTTGGGATTTATTTCTAAACTTTTTATTTTTTATTTTTTTATTCTGATGCTAGTATCACATTGTTTTAGTAACTATTATTTGTACAATATAGTTTGATAGTTGGAAGGGTCAGTGCCCCTTCACCACTTTTTTTCTAAATTTGTTCAACTAATTTACTAAACTAAGCACCTAGTATATCAATTTTCACTTTAGTCCTCTCAATAAGCCTGAGCGGCAAGTACTATTATCCTCATTCCTAACAGGAAACTGAGATTCAGAGATTTGAAGTAACCTGTGAAAGGCTGCACAGCCAGAAAGTGGCTGCACCAGCTGGGATTCGACCTCCTGTCTGTCTCCAAAGCCCAAGGGTTGCCTCCCATCCACACGGCTGAGAGATGACAGGGCAGAGGGGATGAAGGAGAAGGAAGCAGACGCACAGACATCGCAGGGGAGAAATGACCCTGGGCGTGGCAGCAGGGCAGCCAGCCGGTGAGGACATCCCCCAAGACAAAGTCTGGCCGGGAAGAAAGCACTCAGAGGTCTCTTCACACATGTGCTGAGTCTGAGATGCTAGTGGGACTGTCCGTGGAGCTTTCCAGATCGTGAGAGAGATGGATGGTGTGGAGCTGCTGGCCAGGGAGGAGTGTAGGCTGGGGCAGTGGGTGAAACTGCCCAAGGAGAGAGTGTGGAGCAGAGAGGACACTGAGACTCAGGATGTGACCCCGCAGGGGTGGCCCAGGGAGAGAGGCCAGGTCTCCGCCCAGCTCAGGGAGAGGAGGGGCAAGTGACAGTCAAATCAAGGGATGCGAGTGAGGAGAAAATTCAAGAAGAGTTGCCAGTAAAACGATTCCTTCTCATCTGCAGCTTTCAAGAAACACATACCTGCTTCTGGGCAACAGAGTTTTTCAAATGCTCTGTCTGTATAATCCTCATACTCCTTTACACGTTTGTATTCCTTAAACTTCATGCCGTCCTCAAAGGTCAACGTTTCATTTAGTATATCCATTGCCTAAAGCAATTCCATGGTGTTTCATGAGACATAAGCCATATTTGGGGAGGGGGGAGTTTTAAAATTATTTTGTGTTCCCAGTAATAACATTTACCAAGATATGTGATAAGTATTCAATATGTTTACTGCATAAATCAGTAGGGTTTTAAAACAGGAACTATGTTGGAACAAGATAGAAAGAGGAATGTGTTCATTTCTTCTCCTCGTCAGCAGTCACAAGCACTGATCCCATTTGATGCAGACTTTCTGCCTTCAGTCGTCACGTCTATGGTTGGTGCCTGGCTACAGAACTCTCACAGTTAGCTCGCCCGCACCCTGCCTGAAGTATACAGTGTGCCCAATTGGGTCGCTAACACTGCTCCTACTGTTCTACAGTTGACATTAAAGCTATCACTCTATTTCAAACAGATCAAAGCAGAGAATAACAAGGGATGAACACTCTGGTGGACAGAACTTTTTGGACTCCATTCTTTTATTCTAGTGCCTGACTTCACAGAAGAACTGTGGCCGGACCCATCCTCAGGTCCCAACCCAGACACAGGTCCCCAGAGCTGCTCCCTCTGACACTCACAGCTCTGGGACACATAGAGGCCTAGTGGTTAGATGTGAGCACTAACTATCCCCACTTGACTGAAGTCTTCATGTAGCAGAGTGCTGTGAAAATCTGAACCGTACGTGGAGCACAGAGGGTTCTCAGGGCAGTGAAAATACTGTGTATAATGTTATCGTGTTGGCTACCTGTCGTTACACATTTGTCAAAACCCATAGAATGAGTGAGCCCTCGTGTAAACTATGGACTTGGGGTGATTATGATGTGTCTGTGTAGGTTCATCAGTTGTAACAAATGTTCCACTCGGCGGGGGATGTGGATGGTAGAGGGGGCTGTGGGTGCAACGGCAGGAGCTATATGGGAAATCTCTGTACCTGTTGCTCAGTTTGTCATGAACCTAAAACTGTTCTAAAACATTTGTTTACAAAATTGATCCTTCACCCCCCACCCACCACACACACACACACACACACATCTGAAAGAAATGGTAACATAAAAAAGTGTTAAGCCAATAAAAAATATGAAAGAAAGAAATTGAGCACATAATTAATATCAGATCATACAAATATATAGATCTATACATATTCATACTTAATTTTTAAATTTAAAAGGCAAATTCAGAGATGGTGAAATGGAAACACAAATCAGTTACTTTTGATATTTGTTAGTAGAACTGGATATTTGTTAAGTAACAAATGTGATTAAAAAGCTGTTGAAATCAAGTAATAAAATGAGGTTTGAGTTTCCTGTGTTTCTGCATTTATTGCTGTTTCAGTGAGAGCGCAAGTGCACGACTGAAATTTACCCAAAGACTGGTGCAAAGTTGTCAGGAGCCAGTCGAGATCTAAAGTAAATGCACATGGGTTCAGGATACCTGCTCATTTATTTTAGGTGAGTGTATTAGTCGTTGACTGTGTATTATGTCTTCTATTTTAATCTGGCTGTAATAAAAAGTTACTATTATGAGGAAAATGGCTCCCTTATAATAGATAAATTACAATGGAATAATTCATCTATGGCAATAATCTCAATTTTAAAAAGAATGGGAGGATAAAAAATATTTTGGAAGACTCATTTGAACACTTGAGAGCCTTCTAAGAAGGTTTTAGAAAATTCTGCCTACCCTCCATGGGAAAATTCCACGAAACACAGTATTAAGATACCCTTTTTCTCATCCCTACTAATGAAAGTATATACTTAATGGCATACCTCTTCCTCTTGGAGGGTGTTTTCATCAGAAATACATTTGTCTAAATTAATTTCAAACTTTACCCCTCTCTAGAAGAAAGAAAAAAAATATTAGTTTAGCAATCCAATAAAAACCTTAAAATTACAACTCCCAATTTGACACTACAAATAGGTAAAACCATTAATCTAACATTACAAAATAAGGCAATTCCATAAAATAGTAGGGGGTTAAATCCTATAGGCAACTCAGATTGCAAGGTTCATACCCCCAGCCAGTTTTTTAATATGAAACTTTAAAACAAAATGTTTATTACCTTAGCTTTATATTTTTGTTCCGGAATTTTACCTTCCTTTATGCTCTCAAGTCTAATTTGTTTCAAGTCTCTTTCAATATCCTGAAAATTTAGAGGCAAATTAAAATCTAGCATTTAATACTGATCAAACAATTATATTTTCACAACCCCTGAATTCACAGCAGGGTCTGTTTACATTATTTGATTTCTCAGTTGAATCGGATGATTGATTTGAGAATAAAATCATGCCTTTGTAAAGGAAACCTAACAATAGTCTACTAAAAATTTAGGCACAGTGTCCCTCAACTTGAAGTATTAATACATTTAACACTGGCATTGCAATGGGCAAAACTCTATAATGTGACAGTGCCTACCACTCCAGTCCAATACAACCTCATCTAATTCAAGAACATAATTTTGATTATAAGATCCGTCCCTTAAGAGGCTGATGATCATAATCAGAAAAACAAAAAAGTGCAAGGAGAGGGCTCTAAAAATTGATGGGCAACGTCAAGGAGGACAAGAAGAAGATTGTAAAAGTAACGACAAGAATTTCAAAGGAATGATTAAGAGGTGAACTTTAAATGCTGGGCTTTCTCAGGGTTCAGTCCTACGCCCTCTGGCCTTCTCGTCCTCAGTACACGGGGAGCTCGGTAATTCCCATGGATTTAAACGCCATCTTTATGCAGTGACTCTTAAACGCGTCCCTTCGGGTTTGATCCTTCCTCCCCTCTGAGCTTCAGACTCACATTTTCAGGTGCCTGTTTGGTACCATCTTCACTTTAACACTCATTCCACAAATTCATACTGAGCTCCCACTATGGGCCAGACACTGTCCTACACAGTGGGTCAGTGCAGCACATGACCACAAGGTCCCTGCTGACACAGAACTGACCTTTTCCTGGAGTAAGATAGGTAAATGAGCTAGCAAACTAATGACATCATTTCAGAAGGTGTTAAGTGATGTAAAGAAAATAAAATAGGGTAAAAGCATAGGAAATGAGTAGGGGACGAAAGAAATGCAGGAATAGCCCATATGGCATTTGATTTAAGCCCTGGAATGATACCGGACCTCGGCATATGAAAGTCTGCGCAAAGCGTGTTCCAGGCAGAGCGAGCAGCAGGGCACAGGCCTCGGAGCTGGTATGCCACCTCTCACATCTTCCTGACTCCACACGTCCAAAGTGGACCCTAGAGTGCCCCCACCATTGGCTTGCTCCCCACCCTTCCCCATCTCGGTAAATGGTGCTACTCCTTTCGAGCCAGAAACTTATGAGTCTCCTCGGAGGGGTGTGTGTGTGTGTATTTTTTAATGCTTTTTCCTCTCCATCATTTTACCTCCCCTTAGAATTAATTACCGTCTCGTCTGTGTACCACACTCTTTGTGTGGACTTCACGTACCACATCTGTCAGTTTGAATCATTACCGATTGTTTGCCCTGCAACCCTGGGAAGGGTGTTTTCCTGCCTTGCAATATTGTGCACTCTGAAGGCAGGACTGTGACTTCTGTATCTTACTTATGCTTGTGAAGTAGGTTGTCTGATTTGACTGTGTGGTCTGGTTGTCTCAACTGCATGAGAAGCGTCATATTGCTTTATTTCCCTCAAAATACAACTCTTAGACCCTTAAGCCCCATTCACCCCACTGGGTGGAAAATTCAACTTCGGTCCAATCTAGAGCTCTCGACACCTGTAAAGGTCCCTGAGTCTTTCACAAAGCAGAACACTCAGGGAGGCCGGATGGCCTTCACTCAACAGGGGTTCCTCTCACCTGCCCTCAATCAAGCCCTCAGGGCACCTTGAATGTGAAGGGGAAAGACCTCCCAGAAGAAAAAGAAAAGTCTCTTGACATGCAGCTCTGCCCAGTTCCCTACTCCTGCCAAAAGAGGAAGTTTGAAACAGAGGAGAATTTAACCTTCAGGTGCTCTGACCAATGCGTCTGAGACTCTGATTCAACCACCACCAGAAAACGAAATTTTCACAGCTCGTAGGAACAGTTCTCAAACTTGGCTGCGCGCTCACTCATCCAGCCAGCTCCTGAAAACAGGGTGCCTGGGTCCCACCACTGAGGGAGGTCAGAGCCTAGATGTTTGAGATTTTTGAAACTTTCGCACATGGTTCTACAACTCCGGGAGGGGTAGGAACCACCAGGATGGCGCAAACTCCTAGAGAACCCAGCAACATCTAACAATAGCCATCACCTGCACAGGTGCTCCTTCCTCGGGGGCCTCCTGGTGGATGGGCAGGTCACTCTTCTTCACCAAATAGGTTTTAGGATTTATTTTTGAGTCCTCCTACAACATAAATTATACACAGTCAACAAGATTGGCTCTGAAGGCCCATTTCTGAACCTGGGCCACTAGATCTGAACCGGATCTGGTGAGGACACTGGCCGGGGGATGGGCAGGGAGAGGGGCTGGAGGGGGCCCTCTCCGTGCTGCTCTTCCCTGTGGCTGATACTGGTACCACGTGCTTCTCTCCTGGTCTCTCTAGAAAAGTCTGCTACCCTTCACTCCTGGATATAGGCTTCCCAAAGCAGATCTGCCTCTAAGATAGGGCTGATGATGGCACGAGGCTCCCCACCATCAACCAAGCCTCTGCTCTGGAGAGAAGCACCTCCAATCTGTCCCCCTCACCGGGCATCCAGGCCTGAAGCTTTGTGTGGTTCTTTCCCATGCCCTCCACCTCAGCTCTGCCTCTCCAAGTTCTACTCTCCCCCTCAGAGCCAGTTGGGCCCCACCTCTCTTCGTCCATAAATACCCTCCATCTCCTCACCCTGCCCATCACTCCTGTGAACTCATAGGGTTTAACTAGATTCAGCCTTATTCCATCATTGCTTCATCCATGTGTGTCTCATCTTTCCAACTATTTATGAGTAGAAGGGCCTATGCCAGGAAGAGCAGAGGTTTTAGAATCAGATGTTTACTTCGTCTGCCCTTGTGATATCTAAGTGACTTTGGATGAGTCATTCAACTTCTGTTATGGGAAGTAAGGGAGACAATGTATGTGAAAGCTCTAGTTCAGAGCCCAGTACGTACAGCTGAAGTGTCCCATATGCTCATTTCACCTGTATTAGTTCATCCATTGCACTCAGGCGTGGGGGAGAGGGAAGGATCAACTTCAGCAGTCAACAAGTTGTGTAGTTCAAGGGCGTGTGAGACCGGAGGCCAGCTGTGTCCTCGGTGGGCTCGGTGCCCAGAGGCCCTCACAGGAGGAGCATCCCAGGGCGCTGAGGGTATTTCTAGTGTTTAAATATGCATGTGTTTTTTTGTGAAATGTGGTCTCCAAATACAGGCCAGCTACCTCATCTGGAGCTCTGCTGAAAAGGCGATAATCTGAGAGATGGAAGAATGAGTGTCCAACGTGGTGCCTTTAAGGAACTGCTCTCAAATGTTGCCTGATACGGACTTTCGAACCTTACGCCTGCATATGACTGTGCTAATATAGCTGAATTCAGTAAGTGCTTGTCTCTTCCTACCTTGCAGGCATGAACTTACCTCCTGCATCTAATCCAGTTCTGGGGTAAAGGAGCTGCTCAGTCAATACCTACTGACTGCTTTGTGGGGAAGACAGTCAACCAGTACTTTTAATAACAGCCACTCAACTGAGAATCACAGACAGCCCCATCCCCCTGTGTAACCGCGAGTAAACCATAATAAAGCGAGGCTTCCATTAAATCTGACAGCTTTCCTATTTTAAAAAAAATTTTCACAAGATAAAGTTTATCTTTTCTATGAGAAGATCACGACTTTTAACACCTGCTCAATTTAGTTAGCGCTAAATCAACAGAGCAAACCTTTCCTTTAGGAGAGTAAGTTGATTTACCTCCAGTTCACATCCCAACTTCTTTCTAATTTCCTTCATGTCACTGTGGTACTGTTGGCGTATTTCTTCTAACTGCTTCCAATATTCCTAGAAAGTAATCCCAATCCCCAAATTTTAAACGTCTGTGAACAACTTGATAGGATAATCTCTATGCATCCTACGATTTTAGAAATGTGTGATTTATCCTAAGAGGAAGGCTGTTACTCCTGAAAATGGCAACCTGCCTTACGCTTTGGCTGTGGTACTTCACCCCCAGTGAAGATAAGGTCTCTTGGGATGATCTCACTTTGATATACAACCCCAAATGTGTTAATGACAGACAATTACTTTATACATTCCACTTTCACATATAATTGCGGGTTGAATCTGTCCACCCCCCATACCAAGAAAGATACGTTAGAGTCCTAACCGCCCGTATCTCAGAATGTGATCTTGTTTGGAGATGGGGTCGCTGCAGATGTGATCAGCTGACCTAAGATGTGGTCACACTGGAGTAGAGCGGGTCCCTAATGCAGTATGACCGGTGTCCTGTTAAGAAGACAGCCAGGTGAAGATAGACACACCGGGAGGATG